TCAGCGTTTTGGCACTGTGCATGCTGTCCACCATTCAACCTGGACGGGCTGCAGAAATCTCTTGCATTATTATCATTTTCATGATATTAAGTTGGAAACTTTAAAAATGCTACAAGCCCCACTGACTCCGAGCTAAATCCTGGTTTTTGTTGTTGTGAATTGTCGGGTTTTTAAACCATTGCCGCTAAAACAACAATCACGAGAATGATAATATTGCAAGAGATTTCTGCAGCTCAGCCAGGTTGAAAGGTGGATCGCATGCACAGTATCAAAAATGCTGACATTCACGAGCAATTTGAAAAGTGGTACGACAGGTCCTTGGGGTTAGGGTGATTCCGAGTTGTGCTCAAAAACTGTGTAACCACGGAATTGGTCAAAATTAGCAATCGCCAAGGAGCTGAAGGAACCCCGTTCCCATGATTCCTCGAGTGCGGGCCGGGGCGCTTGCGAATATAGTAAATGTTCTATAGCAAGAATCGTACATCACCAGAAAATATCGTGGTAATTAACAGTACATTTCTGAACAACAAAATTGCAGCATAAAGTGAATGTCTATACTCGTCGCCTCTACAGCTGTAACAAAAAAAAAAAAGAAAGGATGGGGTTGCATGTTCAGAGATAACATTTTAGCCTATCCGTTGAGTGCATGTGCCACACGGCAATGACTAGTTAATTTGACTAACCATGATTATTTCAACTAACCTGTACATGCAGCACCAAGTCCCGATTACATTTCTATCCAGCTGCTTCATTAGTAAGTTGCCGTTTGAAGGCACTCAGTAGATGCTGTAGGTATATTGATTCACAACAACTTGTCAAGTTTACATATTTCTCACATTGCATATTTTGTTTTGAATTTATTATTGCACTAGTTGTACCAATGTATTTGAATTTCTGAATAAATATTCTGTATATAGATGTAACTTGAACATATCACCATCTTTGTAAATTGCCTGCTGCAGCAGTACAGAATCCACGACTTAAAATGGTAACAGTAACAACATACCAGGTACATATAATCAAAGTGAAACTTATAAAAGACGATTAGTCTTGACAACTTTCATTCTTAGAAATAAGATATTGTTAATAGTATGAAAACATTGCATGGGCACAATATGCTATGCAGCAATCTTACCAAAAAAAGAAAAAGTTGTACACAGCACAGAAAATGTATTGCACACAACAGCCTCATGTCTGTAAATGCCCTGCAACTGTAGACTAAATGCACTGAATGTTACATTCCACTATTGCACCCCCAGTAGCTTTTAAACATTAAAAATAGAACAAAATTAAACCAGGTACCCTCTTGGCAGCGCGAAGTCCCACTACAGACAGAGCAATTTACAGATCCTCGAGCTGAAACACGGAATTGATGGAATTGATCCGGCTCGATGCCACCTATACCCGTTTTCACCTCAAGAAAAAAGGAAGTTTTGCTCCATGTTCCTACGCCGCGCGAGGTAGTTCTCACAAAATTTGGTCGTCGGAGGAAGAAGCGATGCTTTTGGCTTTTGAAACGTGTACGTCTTGATAAGAGAACACATATCTAATCTAAAATACACCCACATATGTCTCAATTCTCAGCATAACGAGGGGTATTAGTAATGCTCCGCGAGGAGCCGAACTTTTTTTACTATGGTTCTTGAGGTGAAAACGGGTATAGCAAGGAACGGCGGGATTACTGGAAGAAATTGCCCCATCTGAAACAAGCCTAAGTTACCTAGTCCTGGCAGTCTTCGATAGCCTGCAAGATGTTTTTACGCATTCTTAACACCTTAGATGGATGAATAGATCGCATTGGATCGCACAACGATAGGGCAAAGTATTCATGCGCATCTGGCTTCTTCTGGCATGCAACACTAGAACTTATATTTTGGAGCTCCGTCAAGAGCGGGTCAGGATTGCTCTTTTTCCTTTTCTTTTGCGGCTCGTTCGTAGCGCCACTGGAAAAAGCTGGAGGGAATGGGCTTCCCACCCCCCCAGACTGGTGCTCCTCGTCCACTTCATACACTTCGACAATGCAAGCCTCCGGCTCCAGCCCATCCGCTGCTCCACTTTCGTCTAAATAGGCCCCCTCGTTCACCGGACGGATGAAGTCGTTATTACACGATGTGCTAGATGTCTTCATGTTTCCTGACGTGCTGTTGATTAAGAAGAAAAAAAAATTAGTTTAATAAAACAAACAATCAATGCCACATATCAGGGGCACAGCCAGGAATTTTCGGGTAGGGGAAGGCTAGGCTCACTAGTGCAGTGAACGATTGTGTGAAGTGCTTCGGCAGATTTCGCTGAGTCAGCATGAAAAATGGTCATAAGTCACTGCACACTGATAAAAATAGCCTCATTCTATTTCGTTCTTTCTGTACCTTTCATCACACTGAGTATTAACCAGTAGAAAGTTCACATTGTGCAGGAAGCTTATGCTAGCCGAAATGTTCGATCGGCACAGCTACTACGCAGCTCCAAATCTACTCAGACCTTAGTGTATCAGAACGTCACTAAAAGCGCCGTAAAATCGCGTAATTATAATAATGATCATGTTTATTTGCACTCGGATGCCGGTGACAGCAGAAAGACCGAAGGGCCATACCAGAGGCATGCACACGTGGAATCTATGAGTGGCGATCTATTATTTGGGGACAGCGAAGCCTGGACGGCTATCAAATAATTGAATCAAAGAACACTATCGGAGAATTCGCAGTGCACGCATTACCTTCGATGCTGCAGGGTATCTCGCACGAAATACATTTGCTCGAAGTGTGGCCACGACATCGGGTCTTCGACGTCGTCGGCGCCGGCACCGCTCGTCCTGGTTTTCTTCATGTCGCGCAGCAAGCGCACCAGCTTGTCCCGGAGAGATCTCCAACGTTTCTGGACTTTGTCCACTAAAATAAAAAGAAAACTCAGATTGAGGTGGGCACTTTCGTTGGTGAAAGTTAGGACTTACCGCGATCCTTGTCTCCCGGCAGAAGGAGATCGCCGAGTTCACTCCAAATGGCCGATATTTTTTTTGTATCCTCGTAATCCTTACATTCCGGCTGCCAGAGCGCAGGACGCTTTTCAACTTCGCTAATTAGGCGTTCGTTGTTCACTGCCATTCTCGCAAGGCCGTGGCAAAAACTGCAACGGTACACAGTACTACAGTGGTGAAAACTGAAGAAACTTCAAACGCTGCTTGCTACTAAACACGGCCGTTCATTGGTTGTTGCCTGCTGGACGCAGCGGAAGACGCGCCGACATGGACGCAAAATATCTGGCTCCTCCAGATACGCCGGAATGCGCCTAAAGACGCTGCGTTTCGTCCTTGCGCCGGAAGTGACGTCAAAGCGCAGGCGCAGACGCGACGCAGACGCGGAGAAAAACGCACCATGTGGGCTAGCCTTAATCCGACGAGATAAGTCACGCCACGATTCTCATTCCCTCTCCTCGTCGCTTCGTCCCGTCGAGCTTGTAACCGAAGCGAGAACGAGAGAAGCGAGGCCGCTTCCCCTCAGTCCCAACTGTTCCAGGGCGATTGTGACGTCATAGCCCTCGCTTGATCGCGCACTTCTTTTACAAAAGTACGGCCATCCATTTGAGTTATCGATTTTTGGGTGCTGTTGCGGAGTTCCTAGCGTCCTGTTCTATGCATCTCATCCCTTATTTGGCGAAATCCATATTTCGGTTCAGTCTCCTTTTCACACTGCGCCATCAAATTTGCTGGAGTCGCAAATAGCCAGTAACCGATCTTTTAATCCAGCACTCTGCCTGATTGATACGCGATTTACTCTGTAAAGCAACAAAGATGTGTCATAATAACGCAGCCTGCTAAATTTGCTTACGCCTTGTGTTTTATACAAATAATCGGTGAAAAATCAATTCTCCCTATTTTGTAAAAATCGAAATATTTGTGCTTGAAGCTAAATTTGCAATTGATGCAGCATCACATATGATAGAACTATCAACTTCGTTGCCTCTTATGAAGTGCATCCATGTTCTTCTTCAGTTGACAATGCTCATTTTCAAAATTATTGTCAACATCACGCAGTTAAAAAACAAAACAAATTGCGTGATCCAAAATGGGGGCATAACAACGGTAAATGCTCAAAACAACACACTGTTCTATATGCTCTAGAGTAAAGCAAGGACAAAAACAGCGTTAGAAAACTAGTAATTACTTTTTAATTCCCTGTCTTGCATTAAGTTTATTCAAGAAAGCTGCAAATTTCTTTTGTATAGATTGATTTGTTATTGGCGGCACTTTAGCTAGATTCACAATTCTGTGTAGTAGTCACAGAGTTCACAAACGAATTGACTCATGAAAACGTCACCACTAATTTGAGCGTAATGGTTATGAGCAGTCTAACGCTCGTGGGAATAACATTTATGGGGCTTCGCGAGACCCGACAGCCCAAACTTGTTGAATGTTAGCATCGTTATATTGTGGAATGAATTACTATATGGATATGATAGAAGAGTCGGCTTACCATAAATATGAACAAGAAAATATAACTAGTTTAAAATCTAGGAGGCTTCCTTTGAATCAAAAGAATTTTGAACCTACCTTTGTCGTTTTTGTTTTTTGTTTTTTTTTCAAATGAATTTCGGCGTCTCAACTTGACCTATTTTTCTTCTCCCTTATAGAAACGCAGATTTATGGGTTGCCACGAGGTAAGGATAAAAACAAACGTTTATTTTTTTTTTTTTTTACTTTCGTGTCAGGAGCTTTGTACTGGTAGTCTACCACTCTTCGCCGAGCAAGTTTCGGACATGGTGGACAAGGAGGGGCCAGACAGTGGTCTCAAGCACGCTTGGGGGGGAGGTGGGGGGGGGGGGGGGTTGGTCCACTTTGTCTAGCTCTGAGAGCGTTTGTGCGGTGGGAGGGCGGAAAGAAGGAGGTTGTGTGTTGTGTGGGCGTTGCTACAGTCCACAGGTAGTGTCTATTGGACAGGTAGCCGGTACAGTGGGGGCACACAGGTCGGGCAGGACGTCCTTGGAGGAAGTGGGTGCAATGTGCTGCCATGAGTGGTCGTTACAATAACTGCCCCGATAATAGCTTGGCTAAATCGAAGTGAGAGACAGTCTAGAGTGGTTACATTTTCTCCGAGTTCAAGCGGAATGGCTGTGCGTTCCTTGTCCATTTCCTTCCGCCGTTTGATGGATGTGTGGTTTCTTTTTACAATTTGTCGTCCATATTTCTCTTTATGGTGGGCCATGAGGCCGGTAAGAATGTTTCATTAATTAGTAAAAATTTTGCATGAACACCCACCTGAAGTCAGGTGTCCAATACAACGGATATTAAATTCGTTGTCAATTTTGATTCGGTACGCCATGGGCTGATACGAAAGCCAGGGACCTTGGCACCGCCTCACAGCCTGTTTCAGTTAGCGATAACACTACGGGGCACTGCTGCCTTTTCTGCAATCGTCTTGTGTCGACTCTCATCTTCAAGATATGTCGATCATGCTCACGAAATCACGTTGAACTCAGGAGTATAATTGAAAAAAAAAAAAAAAAAGATGTGTTCCTTGAAGGCAACGACAAAACCAAGTATTTTGCTTCACAGTCGTTTACCAATTCGCGTCGCTTTTCGAGCTGTTCTCTACACGGTCCAGACCTCTGTACTTCTGCGATCATCCAAAGTGTTTGAGGTCCCGCATTAGATTTTGCTCGGGAAACCGTCTGCGCTCTTTGCGTACCTCTCAGGCCCTGATGGCCCGGTACCCAAAAGACAGTAACGTGTACATCCAAACATTGTAGCACCGATAATCGTGTAAAAAGTGTGTAAGCTAGAAAAAGCACCCTTTTTACGCCATTTTTACACGAGTGTTGAATATCGGTGTGTGTAAGAAGGGTGTTCTGATGATTTACGCCCCTACACGACCTTCTTAAGGCCGGTTCCCACTAACAGCGGAGAGCTAAGTTAGCGCTACGTGAGCGCTCGAAGGAGCGCTCATGTGGCAGTTCCTAGCGCGTGATGTAGCGCTCGGTTAGCGCTTCAGTAGCGCTCTGTTAGCGCTTCAGAAGCAATCTGTTAGCTAGGGTGCCTACATGTCTGTCTGTCTCTGGGTGAAGACATTCATTGTTGCCGTGAATGTGCCAGCGCACGACGCTCTGGCGCACTCGGTGCGTGACTTGGGCGGTAAAATGGCGTCTATGCATTAGCCAAAGCTACGCGCTCGAGCTGAGTGAACCCGGATTGCGCGCACTTCAAGATGCATAAAAAACAATCGGGCGGAAAAAAGGCTGAGCTGTCACCACTCAAGCAAAAGCGCTCGTGTGTATGAAGGCCTTCTACTGTTAAGGCCGGTTCAGACACTTGCGTTTGAGTGCGTTTGACTGCGTTGCGTGGAGTACGGAAAGCGAGTCACCGGCGGATCTGTGCTTCGTATGAAGCGTGGAATCGAATTCAAGGAGTCATCTTGGCACGCGATATAAGCAGCAGGAATGTCCTGGTTTCTCGCTGCCGCAACGCAGTCAAACGCAGTCAAACGCAACTGTCTGAACCGGGCTTTAGGGCTTTAGAAGCGCTTTGTTAGCGCTCTGTTAGCGCTACAGAAGTGCTTTATTAGTGCACTCACGCTCCTTGTGCCGTGCTTGCCGTTGCGTAACAGCACGCGCACGGCGATTCATTTGCGGTTTATTTTTTTTCTTTGGCATTGAAAGAAGAGTAAGTAAAAGAGCTGCTCTCCAAGCAAAGGGTCGGGTAGGCGATCCAGAGTCATGAATTCTGTGCGACTAATTGATTGGGTACGACCTCATCGCTTTCTATTCGATATGCATGATCCCGGTTTCAAAGACGCGCAGTTAAAAATAATCGCCTCCGAAAGAGCTCTGTGTCTCGGTCCCTCAGAATAGGTACAAGGTTCGCCGGGTACTCGCCGGTATATTGGTGCCGCAAGATTTCGCGCACCCAGAAGGCTCTTCTGGGTGTTAAGCCGTCGACACACATATGCACTAATCGCGTATGTAAGAGCATTTGTCGCACTTCTATTTCAGCACCCCACATGCCCGCCATGATGCCGCCGATGCAAACCCAACCACGGGAACCGGAACCGTAGTGCACGCGCTAATCCGCAGCACCGCGGTACACTGAAGCGCTAACACCGCGCTACTGAAGCCCTAACAAGGCGCTACTGGAGCGCTAAGAAGGCGCTACCGGAGCGCTAACAAGGCGCTACTGTAGCGCTAACAAGGCGCTGCTATAAAGCGCTAATCACGAGAACGAAGCCACGCGTTAGGAAGCGCCACATGAGAGCTCCTTCGAGCGCTCACGTAACGCTAACTTAGCACTCGGCTGTATGTGTGAACAGGCCTTTACAGCCCACCTGTAGCGATGGTGTCTGAAATCGCGTAAAAGGATATTTGGGTGAATTTTCTGTCCTTCATTTACACGGTGCCAAAGTGGCGTAAGGGTTATGCAGTCGAATACACCCATGACTTTATAGCCTGTCATGTTAATTGCATTGATAAAACTAATGCTGGTGTACGGCGGTACAAACATCGAGCACAATTAATCGCCACATGAAGTCGCGTACGATTACAAAATGCTAGAAAATTAATAGTTTTTTCAACTTCTCAAGGAGCCGGAAATCACGTGTCACACGTACATCAGATTTATCAGTTAAAATTTAATTTCAAAATCATCTCCGCTCGCAAAAGATGAACGAAGAGGCGGAAATATACAGCCCAGGCAGCACTGGGTATTACGCAGATATTGGCCTCTAGTCGGAAAGAATGTGTCGATATACTTTTGGTCCAGCCAATGTCTCTGAAGAATCGGATAGGTCGCGCCGACGCCATCCCGACATACCATGCGCAAAGCTGTTTTTGGTTGAGTCTGAAGAATGTTCTTTGTGAATCGGCTGTGCCGGCGAGGTATTCCTATTTCTTGACCGCCTAAAATCCGACATTAAGAAAGGCAAACTGAGACCAAGATTACGCACAACAAAATCTGCTTGCTTTTAGCCCGAGAAACACCTCCTGCGCTGAAGCTTTGAACAAACTGTGGAGCAGTTATTTTGGGTTGTACAAACTCACCTACCTGGGCCTCGCACTACTTATTGCACCTTTGCTGAGATTCTGTCTTTCTGTGTGGTTCTGATCAAATAATGCCGGAAGACAGTCAAAAGCGCCGGATTTGTGACCCCAGCTAGGGTACGCGATTCTTATCTCTACGTGGTAACACCAACATATCAACATACCTAGCACCTCGACGCTTTTTATTTTTTCGTTTTTCCTGAGGAACGCGTAAAACCTCGTCTTTTGCCTCATGCGCTCGGCCTCTCATTTTTTACCCCTGCTTCGACGGCTTCGATTACTTTTTTTGGATTTACCGTGTGATCTCGCGGTCTGCACCAGAGCAGGCACGCTCTTACACAAGTGTTTGAAACGCTCAAGCTTGTACTGCCGGAAAAAAGGCCTGACGAGTTCCTGTTTGCAGCGCTCGCTGGGCAGTGCAGGAGACCTATAGACCTTTCCATCGCTTATCACACGGCCGAAAAATGCTGAGTCACTGAGCTGTAGGCGTATGCCCAGCATCCGATAGCCGCACAACAAAGCAAGAGCGCATTCTCAAAAGGCGTTCCACAGCCCAGCAGAAAAAGATGGCAGCGCGCACAAGGCGATTTTTTGCGAAGGTTTTGGGAGATTTACTCCATTATCCACCTCCCTTTGACACCGTCTTCTGACAAGCCTCCCCACCTTCTTTTGTGTCTTCTTGTGGCTGCGAGCGAGTGTGACACGGCCGCTCCTAGTGAATCAGAGGGGTGGAGCGAAACACGTGACCGCTCCCCTCGGACAAAAACGCTTAGTCTTCGCCGTTTGACAAGTTATGGGACCGTTCGGCTGGGCCAGGGGGCGCGCTGGAGCGATACCAGTGGCGTCGTGCCGTGGCCCAAATTCGCCCTACTTAGCCGTTCGCTCGTCCCACCTCGCTGTCAGTTGCAATGGCGGGCACCGCGTTGAAGATTTTTGTCCGTTAAAAAACTGTGATAATTTTTAGGGAGGCGAATTTTCGCAAAGAAAGGTTGCCTGAGTGTTAGGTATCCGGTGTGAAGAAAATAATTTAGGCATAGGAATATTTGTCGTTTGCGAAATATGTCTCGGAAGTGCAAGACAGCGTCGGCTGTAACATCCGCCTCGAGATAAATGCTCTTTTTCTCTATGGTTTCGCTAGCTCTTCAAAGTCGGGGCTATTCGGGCAAAGATGAGGATGCAATATTGTCTAAATTGTCTTTTCGCGCACAGCTGCGCTGTCTCATACACACCTTGAGCTCAGGTCAGTTCTCGGACTTACCGGCTGATGGGAGCATGCCGCGCCTGTTCTAATTCATCCGGATGAAGTTAATGACGAGGCATGTACAGCTTGATCGCAACACTGGGTCAAGTTCTCATAAAAAACCGAAACGGGACGTCAATAAGGCCTCCGCTTTTAGTTTGAGTGGGTTCAACAAAAAATATATATATTACTGTGCGCCGCAACATCTTGCTGTGTTTGCGCGCTTCTGTCACTGCCGTCAAAGTCGTAGAATCGCAATTCATGTACGTGCGTGCGTCAGTAACCCACTTTTAATTTTATTAGTGAAGAGAGGGATTTCTAATCGACTTGCATTTTCGTTGTAAAGCGTCCCTCTTTTTAAACTTATTTTTATGTGACCGCAGAATGATAATTTTGAACACTGTTCCGGTTCACAACAAATAAAAAAAATTTGCTTCACTATTTGTTTTGGTTGCTGTTGAGGTACAATTAAACTTGATATATCTTGAGTCTGCGTGCCAGGAGAGGATCGTCAATATTCTTTCACTCTCTCTATCTCTGCAAGAAAATATTACTTAATTTTAAACTTCAGTCATGAAGGCTTAGTTACTGGCCTTTGTGACGTGCCCTGTCTTCGTTCTCTTTATTTTGCTTTCAATTTTTACATCTAACATTGCCGACACACTCTTATTGGTTGACCGAGGAGTGTCCAGGTTTGATATTGTAGAGTTACTTGGAAAGTAATTATGCCTGTTGTAGGTTAACTACATCATTTTAATAATGTAAAAAAAACTAGAGTACGGCCGTCAGTG